CTTCTCCCTCTCCCACTCCCCCTGCTTGTGTTCCCTCTCTCGCTGTGTCTCTCTCTGTCAAAATAAATAAATAAAATCTTTAAAAAAAAAAAAAGAATCGTTTTATTTTATGTAGAGTCACCGAAAATTGTTATCATGCTTATTTTTTCACACAGATTAAATTAATTTAGTTTAAGGGTACAAAAAAGAAAAAAATTCCAGTCAACTTGCCAAAAATAAAACCAGGATCTCTAGACATGTATGATGCCTAACGTATTAATTCCAGCCCCATAAATCCTTGAGCCATCGAAACCAACAACTTAATATTTTAACTAACTCTCAATTGTGACGCGTGACTACCAAAAAAACTGCTGTGAAATACCTTCAATTGTGATATTTTTTACCAAAACTGGCTTGACCGCCTTAGAACCCATAAGGATGCCCGTGGTTCTCCAATACAATATGTTGGTGCCTGATTTCAACATTACCTGTAAAGAGGAACACAAGGCACTGGGGTCAGATAAACCACACTACTTCATTCATACCTCAAAGCTAATCCCTTATACACGTCTCAAGGCATTATCATGAAACACCATTAATTAGGAACCTACAAATTTAAGTCTACTGTTAGTTCATATCTAAGCTCTGCTGTAGTTATATTTTATAAAAAAAAAAAAAATAGTTCGCCAATCCAAAAACTATAGCAATAAAGAAGGAAAAGAAAATTCTTTAAGCCTGAACAAAAAGATAAAATGATTTTTAAACCATGTGCGTGAAGTCTTGGTTTGTATTTAAAAGGAATTCATTCCAGAAAGTGAAAGGCACTCAACCCAATTACATATTTGTTGACTACCACTATTCATATGTAGATCTCTGGGCTCTGAAAACAAAAAGTCAACAGAACGAGTTTGCTTCCTTCTAAAGTTGTTTAATAAACAACAGTGCAACAGCAAGCAGAGAAAAATAGGACTGTTATAAAATAACATGATTTAAATGACTGCAGAATGTAAATGATATTACATCTAATATTTGCTTCCTTTGCCACCAGCACATGGTTCTATTTACGTATCAAACTACGTTTCCCATAAATCTCACGTTGTTTCTGTCAAAGCCAACAAAATAATTTAAGGGTTCCTTGCTTTCTCATTTGCCACTCTTATTCTTCTATGCAGTCTCTGGCTGGCCAAATTCAAGCTGTATGAAATTAAAACATATCCAAGTACTTCACCCTGCCAGAGAGTCAGAAAAGTAGTGCACTAAATACTTTCCCCTGTGTTAAGTGAAGAAAGTGTATTTGTTGCCAAGGGTTACTGTACCTTCAAAGCCCAGCTTAATGAATGCTTAGGTGAATGGATCTTAAGTGGTTCTCATATCACTTCCAGGCATACAGATGAAAAAAAAAAAAAAAAAACAGTCCAAAAGGGTACATTGTATTAATCACCCAAGGATGGGGCACCTGTTACAACTCAAAGGTGGGGGTGGATGGTCGCTTACTGACATAGAGCTCAGTCTACACTGCAGGCACCACACTAAGTGGTTCCCATATATCCTCTCATTTAATCCTGCAAGATCGCTCCCATTTCTTACATGAAAAATCAGATTCAGAGAGATGAAGCCAAAAACAAAACAAAAGAGATTAAGCCAACTGCCTAGAGAAACACAACTACTGTAAGCCAGAGTTAGATTTGAAATCCATGCCTCATTCCAAAGGGACAGTGTCTCAAATAATATAACAGATTCAAAGACTGTGTTGCCTGATAACTGCTTTCAGGCATTTGGAGTTGTCCTGTGGAGACTAGGCAGTTGCGTTACCCGATGTGACCAGAGACTGTAGACCTTTGAGCAACAGGTGACAGATAGATAGGAAGCAGGTTTAGGCTCCAACCATGGATGACTTTTGTGATAGGCAGAGCTGTCCAACAGTGGAGTCAGTACGGCCCCCATCAAGACAAGCTGGAAAGTCACTTGTTGGGAAGACTGCAGAGAAAGTTGGGTCAAAGGACCCTCCCAGTACCAGGAGCCACGGATTCTCTCCCATGTGACAGGCACATATGTAAACTTACATACCCTGAGGTTCTGTGCGCTAGTTTTGAATAGCCTTATTTTCTTGTCAATGCCCTTTTGAAAAGGAGGAAAGCTGCAGTATGATGGGAAAGAGGAGGGAAAGAAGCCCAAGGAGGAGAAAGGTAGGAAAAACTACCCGTGTCCATGAAACTTTGGGACAATTTCTTCCCTAACTAGAAACTGTCTAAATTAATCATTTTTCTTTTCTGTTTATAAACTTTTTTTTTATAAGGTTGGGAAAAGGAAGGAGCAGAATGGGGGCTGATGGGATAGAAGACGAACAGAGACTTACAGAATGAGAGCCCCATTCTCCATTGTCTGTGAGTTTTACCCACTTGTCTGCGGTGGTGTCCATCTCCTGGCACTGATCGTTTTGAATCTGTGGATTAAACACAAGGGCCCCAGTAAAGCTTCTTGAATAATGGCTTTAATTAAATTCATTACTCAGCATAGGACAGGCTGCAAGAGCTTCTTTCAATACCTGCTAAACAATGACCATAAGTAATTCTCAGCAAGCAAACATACCAAGACCTCTAGAGCCTAAGTGACAACTGTATACAAGTGATTCTAAGTAAAGCATCCACATTATTGCAACAAAAGGGTTAGGAAGCAGAGAGGGAGGGAGAGAGGATGAGAGTAGTTAACTCTGAAAATTCACAGAAGGGAGAAAAAGTCATTACGAAAAACTTACCAAAAGTTTTAAAATCTTTCATTCACCATCCGGGCCCAATAAAAATAAAGTACATTTTTACAAGACTTAGGGAAGTAATGTTTTAAATTAATAAATAAATGACATCTGCTTTGTTTTCAATTCCCCAGGACTCATTCCAAACACATAGACAAGGAGCTACAGTCAAAGCCAAAGCCCTAAATTTTGAGTTGGGGGGAAATGTTAATCATACACCACACCAGTTCAAATGACTGCAGCTACTATCTTTAGTACCAAACACTTTGTGCTCTCCGGACAATTCTTACAAAATGCCTAAGGGTTTGCACACGACTTTTCCAGGCCTGTGAAGAATACACAAACAACAAAATGCAGGCCATTTTGCAGTACTGCCCACGAGTCAGCAATAGAGTAGGGCTGAAATAAGAACTTGTCACCTCTGCTTTGGCCAAAATGGCTATTTCTCTCTGCTCTACATCTTGGCCACTTCATTCATCCTCCTGACCAGTTTACCAACAACATTAAAATGTTCGCTGTAATAGGTACTTCCTAAAAGCTTAGCTAGAAAACAGATACTTTTAACATCCAAAAATACCAGAGATATCAGCCACTGAGATTGTTTAAACTGAATTTAAGTATCATACTTATACATATTTATACTATAAGCATAATGACCATTCTAATGCAAGTGTTAAGCCATTTTTAAGCAGATATGGACCCTAAATATACCTTTGATGGTCAATGTGTGGATAAGCTGAAAGTTTTTTTTTTTTTTTTCCCCAGCTGAAATCAAACATCATGTGTTTTGGGGATATTCTAATGGCATTCTGGGATCTGATTTCTGTTCTTCATTCTAAAAGTAAATAGTAAAGGTATGACCTTGGTCCAATCACTTATTCTCCCTAGGTTTCAGCTTCATCACTTAAAAAGAAGAGTGGAGGAGCTGAATCAAATTCCCACAGTTCTAAAATTAAATACTTGACTGCTTTAAATTATGTGATAGCCGAAGGTACAACTGTATCTTTCAGTCTTCAGACATTTCCTTTACATTAACCATAAGCCTGATGACTGAAGTGTTGACCCTCTGAGTCAATAAATTACAACCTATAAAGCTGAACATCAGTAAAAGAAGGAACTCGCCACCTCTTTTCAATATGTAACCAGAACAAAGGCACCATTCAAAGGAAGTCATGAAACTTCATGTTTTAGGAGTACCTTTACTGACAACTCTGAAAGGACTTATTCAGCAATACAAAACTAAATGCTTATTCTTAAACAGTTTTATAATTACCTTGCTTTACTCTAGTTTTAGTAATATTGCAAAAATGTCCCATGGAATAGGGAATCATTTACTCTAAGAAGTGTTTTACAAACAAAATGTAGCTTAAAAAGCAAATCCGTTTGACTATTACTTAACATCTTAAACTCCTCAAAGGATATTAGGACAAGGAGGATCCTTAAAGGTCTGGTCATACAATCCACTTTGCAAAAGAGAATGCTGAGGGCCGGAAAGTTAGCTTAATTGCCCAAAACACACAACCAGCCACTGCAGTTGGGACTTGAGCCAAAATCTCTTGACTTCAAGTCCAGGGCTCATACTTTCATGGCAAGTGTCTCTTCCTATCAAACTTCCAACTTACAAATTTCCATTATCAGGAGCAAAATAAATTTGTTTTAGAATTATTAGTACCTGGGCTCCTGAAATCTGGACCACAGAAACATTATACAAGATAATTTTCCCCAATTACCTGTACAACACACATTTTTTAAGAAGTCAATCTGAAAATATTTTCTCAAGCATTTGAGAGACTGCCACAACAAATATTTGCTAGATTAGATACAGTTTATATTAACTTTTTAAAGTTTATTTATTTATTTAAGCAATCTCTACACCCAGCGTGGGGCTCAAACTCACAATCCTGAGATCAAGAGTCACGTGCTCTTCCGACTGAGCCAGCCAGGTGCCCCTATATTAAATATTTAATTTTAGTAGCAATAGTCTATTCCTTTCAATTTAAATTCAATTAATTAACATATAATGTATTATGAGTTTCAGAGGTAGAGTTCAGTGATTCATCAGTTGCATGTAACACCCAGTGCTCATCACATCATGTGTCCTCCTTAATGCCCATCACCCAGTTACCCCATCCCCCCTCCCCCCACCCCAGCCTATTCTGTAAGACTATGATTTTATCCTACATTCCATAATGCTATTTCATCTCTTACCAAAGACATCAACTATCCCATCCACTGATTACTTTAGATTATACAAAATTGACAGAATCAGAAAAACATAGTCACTTCTACTTCTCAAATATTGCCCATGCTTATACTTAAATCAGTCAAATACTTGAAACTGCAAAAAGAAAAAAACAAAAACTAAAATTGGTGAAAACATATTTTGACTAAAATAGCATCTGTAGCTATAAAGAAAATTAAAATGAATGTTGGGTGAAAGTATTTTTCACACAAAAAGTCTAAATCAAATGGTCATCTAATATCATAACCAATAATAAAACAAGTCCAATGTTATTCAACAAGGTGAGAGCTCAGAGGTAAATAATATTAAGCAGAAAATAAAATATTAAAGAAAAAATAAAGTTTTCTTTTAATATCAAAATGTTCAGTTGACAGGAAAAACTGAGGAGGCATACCACAGAATAGCAACAACCGATTACAAGAAATTTTACATGAATTTCCCTCAAAAAGTAAATTCTAGAACATGAAAGGCCTTACAAAGAACTCAAAGAAGATGTTGTTGTCGACATACTGGTACTCAAAGAAGACATAACCTGACTTCTTGAGGTGCACAGCATAGATCAAAGATACCGTGCAGTCATCACGATTGGACTCTATGTAATTTCCACGAGGGACCCAAGAAGAGCTGTGGAAACAAAACCAAGAGGAATCTTTACATTAGCATTCAGAAACCTCTTCTGTTCACAAGTTATATAACTTAGTTTCAAAAGTAGTTCCATCAGCAAAGCACAGCAGAGAAGTCTAAAGCATTTCTGGAACTCAAAGGCCAACACATTACTGGGAAAATGTTCATTTCTTATGGCAAAGGGCTTCCTTAAAGTTTGGTAAGGTTATGTGATCCATTTGCTAGGAAACTGCTATTTTTCAAGAAAAATTTGGTCACTAAATAGATCACTACTAATTGCAACAGTCTGAGATAGAGTTATTCTCTCAAGCAACACATGAAGTTTTATTTATACACATATATACCTGGCAGGGAGATGAGGAGTTACTTGAAAGAAGGAAAAGTCCTAGTAAAAACCCATTTAAAGTACACCTAAATAAAATATAAATCACAGTTTCAGAGTATATAGGAGGGAATTTTTATCTAAAAAAAAAAAAAACTAACTAAATGAAAAATTAAGAAAATATACTGGTGAACAAAATTTAAGTTGCAAATCTAGCCATAATTCTGAGCTAAACCAATAATGAGTCACATGTTGACCCTTTGGCCAAAAAAAAATTTCTAACAAACTGTATGAAAGCACAACTTAACAGCCTTCTCTGTTTATATGGATGGTAAGAGTGAGATTTTGGCAAATTCTTTTCTTTTTTCTAAAAGGAATCTGAAGACTGAGACTTCCACATCCCAACATGACTCACTAACTGGTACTGGATTTGCCCTTTCTCTTTAACAAATTGTTAAACTAAGGAAAATACATGAGCCATATTCAGGCAATGACAATAGGCAATGCAAGACAGAGATTCTTGAGAGCAGGAAAATGCATGAGGCAAAGCCCAAATTGACTTTGGCATCACTCTTCAGGACACTTTCCAGACTGTAGCACCCAAGCAGAGCAGGGTGGTCTCACTGAGCTGAGAAGCAGAGATGAGTATTTAGGGCAGCTGAAGCTGCTGAAATTTATAGGCCTGAGAGTCAGGGAAAACAGGGGTCCAGAAGTCCATATGGAGTTTCTCTGTTGGTCCTGGGCTTGAGGCTGGAGTATACAGGCAGACATGGCAGAGAACAGCCACCACAAAGCTGTGACATAATCAGAGAGATCACTTCAGTGGGAGTCACAGGAACTTCCGGTCAGCCTGAGAGGAGAAAACTTGATAACCACATTGAGCATTCATCTGATACTCCAGAATTGCCATCTTGGGAATAGGGCCGTACCCTGGAGCAGGTATCAGCCAACTTTTTCATAAAGGGCCAAAGAACAAATATTTTGGATTTGTGGACCATCTGGTCTTTCCTGCAATACTTAACTCTGCCATTGTAATTGAAAAGCAGCCATAGATAATGCATAAATAACTGAGCGCAGCTGTCTTCCAATATAACGTGGTTTACAAAAACAAAGGGCCCACAGGTCATAGTTTGCCAACTCCTGCACTAAAATAAAGGTCGTAACCTAGAGCTAAGAGTGAAACCAATACAGAGCCACCCTAAAAAATAATAAAAGCAGGCCTGATGAGATCAAGGTGCTCTTTGAGCACATAAACTGCCTGCCAGAACAAAATTCAGCACCCCTAAAATGAAGAAAAAAAATAATCCATGTTCCCTACATCTTAACATTCACAATGCCCAAGATACAATAAAAATTTACTAGACGTGTAAGTAAGTGGGAAAATATGACCCTTAATTGAGAAAAAAGACAGTAAAAAAACAGACAAGTATTTAAGACAGTTCTTACAAATACAGTCAATTATAAATAAAAGATGAATACAGTGAGTGAAGGCATGGAGAATCTCAAGTATTTCAAGGGAAATAAGAGCCATAAAATAAGGAGCAGAAGGTATATTGGAGCAAATTACAGCAGAGAACTTCCCTAATTTGGGGAAGGAAACAGGCATCAAAATCCAGGAGGCACAGAGAACCCCTCTCAAAATCAGTAAAAATAGGTCAATACCCCAACATCTAATAGTAAAACTTAGGAGTCTCAGAGACAAAGAGAAAATCCTGA